AAAAGGCGCAGGTGGGCGAAACACGAAAAGATAAAGGCGGAGAAAGGATGAAGCTTAAGTTGCGCATTGCAGTGTTTTAGATCCGAGAGTGATTGGACACTATGAGCTCAGTAATATGCGTTCGTCTATTAGAGCTTTCGGGTAGCTCCAAAGCCAAGCGCTTCCGGTTGCCCTCGAGTGACACCTCTGATTCGTTTTCAAAACAAACCTTTTCGCTGAAATTTGCTTATACCTGCAGCACTCAGTGTTATCATGCGCATCAGAGGCGCACTCAACAATCGGTGCCACGTGCAATATGCCGCACTGGCCAGCATCCAGCGCTGTTTTTATCTGGAAATTAAAAATTTTCTCATTTTTTGCCTTCGAAACTCATTCCATTGCTTAACAAAAGAGGTAAATTCCTGCGTGTAAATTCGTGCGTTTATTTAGCTCATTCATTCTGCATCGTGTTTTGCGGTTTGTGTTTTTTCTTGTTTCTCTTCTATATTCAGAAGCATGGGCATTTATGTGTAAAAATTAAATGTATCCTTTTTGGCGAAAGAATAAATGTAAATGTGAAAAGTGCACCTCCGTCTGCGTCACATCGTATTTGCACAGTTTCTGGCAGCCCGGTGGCAGAAGCTTGGCACGGCAGCACTGACCAAAGTGGACGTTGGCTTGTGCGATCGGCACGCAAGGTAAAAAGTCTGGTGCTACGCCACATTGCGCTGAAATCAAATTCTAAAGTTTGCAATCTGTCTAGAAACAAACCTGGTACTATGCAAGCACGAAGATAAGATAATTCATCGATTTTTTGGTTCTTTGAACATGAGTACTCTTGACCTCTACGGGCGAGGTGAGTTTCGATTTTTCTATGCAAGGCGGCACATCTTTCAATTTCTGTGCCCGAGTTTACGATATTTCTAACATTTTTAGCGCATTCTTATTCCACAATTGTGCATTTTTCAATTTATATTTATTCGATAAACTTTTCATCCTCTGGCTTAAATTTTCTCCCATACAGAGAGTGTGGTAAAATAAAGGACGACTGTTTTCTTCCGTCCCCCTCCGAGAAGGGGCTTCTCGGCTGAACAATCATTAAGTCAATACGAGACGATAAAGTAGTCATCTATAAGCAGAGAAAGTTTCAGATGAAAGAAGATGATTAGTAGTAAAATCCCCACGAACGATCAAAAACCGGTTAGTAGTTTTACCATTGGTATTTTCGCTACCCGGAGCAACCGGTTTCTGATGATCCTCTTGCATTGCAACATTACAGCTTATCTTCTTAGACAGTGGGACGCTCCGTGATGAAATAATCATCTGTTTTAATCTCTGTTTCATTTGACAAGTTGAGATGTCTTTTACACAACAAATTCAACCTGTACGAATGTCACATAATCAAGGCAGTGCCAAGAATTTCGGGCATCGGATCACTATGTTTCACATTGCAGCAGTACTCAAACGGTCAATTTGCTTTTGCGGCACTGATAGCAAGAAGTTCCCAAACCAGCGTTAGAAATCCATCGTTCATTTTAAACTCAAAAAGAGGCGCTAACCGTGTGGTGTTGGAATAGTCACTGCGACCGACTGCCCATGTTTGCTCAGAAAACTGGGATGCGAACTCGTATAGGCCATACGTGCTCGTCCAGCTAAAGTGATTTTTCTGTTTGCAATAAGTGATTATGTTTCAAAGAACTTTGTAAGCTAAAAACTAAGAATTTAATGGCTGAGCTGCATGACAAGTTTTTTTCGCCAAGAGAAAAATGAAAGGAAATAGGAGAACGAACGCCAGGTTGCGTAGCAGGCTAATTCATGTGATGTAATTCGGTAGCAGCAGCAGGCATGCAACGACCGCTGCGCCAAAATGAAATGCAAGCTAATCAGAGTATCAACTTGGAGCGCTGAACAGCTTACCCGAAACTTTTGCCCATCGTGGAGAAACTGGCTTTCTTGTTGCGAAATAGGCACCAAGGAAACTATTTATACCTGAAATGTATGATATGATTCGCATTTTCAGTTCCCAAGTTTTATTTTAACTCTTTCAAATGAGCTGAGTTATCATTCTAGTCTCGACAAACTTTTAGACCGCTACGACGGCGGTCTGAAAGCTCCAAAATGTTGATCCAGAGGTCTCAAAAATAAATACCAGGAATACTAAGACTAACATTCTTGATATGTATTTTTTCGAAAAACATCTATTTTTCTCAAAAAATGAAAAATAAATATTTTTCAAGAAAACTGCTCATTTTAAATTTGGAAATTTTAATAAGGACTCTTTGAAATTACTGTTTTAAAAAATATCTCTGTGTGGAATTTACAATTTTCGCTCATTCTCATATCATCGTCACCAGGACTGAAGCCAGCTGCGCCGTTCTTCGAGAAATTTATGATCATCTTAAAATATAGCACACTTGTTTATTAAAATTTGCAACATCAACAGTGCCAAAACTGCCCGGGCTATCAATGTGAGAATCTCATGCTAGTGCTGTTACAGAGGTGCGCCCATACGTTGAACACACCTACAGACGAACCCTACTGCAATAATAATTGAAATTTTATTTGTCCAGTACGGAATATTTTAAGAGGCTTAAAAAAGCTTTCTAAATGTCTAAAACCCTCTTTTCCTGCTTCACCCTTTCCTTCCTCCGCTTATCAAAGTTTTAAAAATTATTCAGTTCAGAAAAATTTCTGTTGCGCAATAATTCCTTAGCTTTTTTCCAGCATCTCGTCGACGTAATTAGCTCCTAAGTGCCCTTCTCCTTGTCTCCCATTCTACTCTTGTCCTTTTTTAAAGTGACAATTCTGCTTTTGAAATCAAGACTTATTTTAAAGTAAAGGCGAGAATTTTAAGCACGAGTATGAGCACGCGCGAAAAGAAACTCTGCCAAGAATTTCAAAATTAAGAAATAATTGGCCAGTGCATCGACTGCTAGCGAGAAGGTGCGTTTTTCACATAGTTTCCTGCAGGTTTTTATCGCTAGCGGCATTGTTTTTTCTGACAAATGCTTCCAGTTAAAAGAACTGAGATTGGCCACCAGGACTGTCAGAAGACATCCCATTAAAGTTTCTGCTTTCTAACTTCTCTGGTTCCCAGTTAGCAACTTACCTGCTAAAAACTTTCTCAGGCCCGTAAGTAAGAAACAAGCATATCTAGAGGCCGAATTCATTCGATCATACGCGGGAAGGCTGGAATTTTAAGGGAATGTTAAAAAGAACTTCAATGGGTTTGATCAGAATTTACCTCTTTCCAAGTCCACATTCCACACTGGTGATACGTACGGATTCTGCGGCTGGTTCGGTTGTGCAGTGATATGACGGACTATTTTCAGTGATCGCAACTCCCATCGACTTTCAGCCTTACCAGTTTCTTCTGCGGCTCCGAAAGAACAGATTCATAGACACATTAGTTAGAAACAATCAGGATTATTAAAGTAAGAGCTGTGGAGACACATGCACCCCAAAATCAAAGGAATAAACAGAGTTGCACGTTGCGCATGGATGCATCTCAGCAATACCAGCGACTCGCATCTCTACATCAGTTGGCCAGCTTGAATGCCTTGTTAACGGAGTCTTACGTCATAACAGTTTTAACCCAAGCTTTAATGTGTCGGGCTTGCCGATGCGATCATGCGTTTTTGCTTCAAGCTTGAAGTAATCAGATCACTAACTGCATGAATGGTTATTGCTTTACACCTACATTTTGCGCTCACGAGCGTAAATCACCATAAATTTTGCATAAAGTAAATGGACAATTTCCATTTTAACGATCGTTTTTTAAAAGCAGTCTAGTTGTTCAGTGGGCAATTTTCCTCCCAAAACTTTTAAGTGCCCATACGTGAGAACCACGCGCACCTGAAGACCGAATTTGAAATATTTAAGTTTTATTTGGACAGGAAACATTCTCCTAAAATTTTAGCTTTCTAATTTTTCTAGTTCTCGAGTTGGTAATTTTCCCGCCCAAACTTTCATACGTCCTTAGGTGAGTATTACGCATACCTGGAAGCTGAATTTGATATCTTTAGTTCACAAATGCACCGGGAATATCCCTGCAAAATTTTAGCCCTTTATCTTGTCTGGTTTCCGAGATCGCTTGCCCCCGCCCAAAAATTTGCATTTTTTTTTAAAACGTCCGTGCACGCTAGCGCAGGCGTAGGCGAACGATGATATTACAACAGTGGGTTGCGCACTGTGCGGGCATATACTCCCAAAGTCTCAGCCTTCTAGCTTTTCTAGTTCTCGAGTTGAAAGTGAGTGACAAAAAGTGCGAACACACAGACAAGCACACACAGACAGTCTCTTGCCAATATGCGATTTTGCAGTTTGCATATTTGCAGAAACGCATAAAAATCATTGTTTTTGCGTGGAATTAACAGCCTACGAGAGGTTACGAAAAAAGCAGCTGATTGGAACTGCTCCCAAAATCAAAAGTTTGCGATAGCAAGTCCAGAACCCCAGGACTAATTACTCGTTGCGGGTAAGAGGAAACAGTAATTGAAGCGGGCTGCTTACAGTATCGTATTCCTTGAATAACGCTTATATTCTGTTCTGACCTAATTTAGCATAAATATTAAAGCAAAAGTATAATTTGCGCCAGGAAAAAAAAAATTACCGTAAAAAGATAAGAAACCAATTTTACTTAAATTGTTTGACTGACCTGCACCAGGAAGTGGTTGCGGCTCTGAGACGTTTGGAAGTGATTCGGGAGAAAAGCTCGGCAAAGGTACGGCTACAGGTGGTATGACATCGGTCGGTGCCTCGTAATCATCGACACTTGACATGCTGACCAACGATTCATTCCCATTACTGCTCAATGGAGCAATTAGCCCTCCAGGCCACGGATGTTCCTGAAACTCGTTTTCTAGTTTCAAATCTCTTTTGATAAAACAACCAAATTTCCGTCAGTTAGATACTCGTAAATGTGTGTTGTTTATAGATTTACTAGCCAATTACAGCCAATGCACACACTTAAATACATACACACACAGAGGGCATATTTATATAATTTGTTGCACACATACAAAAACAAAAAAATCACGTCAGATCTTTACACATATAAGGATTCAGCGTAATTATATATATATATATATGTATATATAAACAAATTATATCTTTTTAATTATTCTGATAATTAATTATGCATCTTTTATCGCAATGATATGCCTTTACATACAAAAATATGTATATAAATAAATAATTACTCTGAATTACGCATATTTCTATAAAATCCTAATACTCTGTTAACTCATTTCTAATTTTTGCAAAAATACATTAAAAAATTAGAAATGCATGCTTAAAATTATGGAAGCCATCAAATATATTAACTATTTTAGCGGCATTCAACTTACGCTCTTCTTTTTTCTGCCTATTTGCTTGAAAGCAAAAGCCACACTCAAAAATTAAACTTTGTCAGCTTCTCGTTAACGAGACAGAGAAGCCTGCTTTTCTTTTCCTTCTTTGCAAACCCTCCCCTTTTATTTCCGCATTTCCCTTTTCCCAATTACGCAGATTCTTAATTCTGGCCATTTCACTATTATAAAATGGATTGGAATTAAAATCTGACGCTGGTAACACCGAAAGTGGGTGAATTTTAAATCCTAATCCATTTATTCTGTTCTCCAAAATGAATATCAGGCTTAACAGCAAGTTAACTACGACGCGACGCAGCACTGCACAAAAAAAACGGAAATGTTACCAGCAGCATAGTTCCAGAACCCGCTTTGAATTGTAGTTGATCAGAGGATTTTTCCTTCATAAAATAATTACAATTCATTTTAAAAGAGAGGATGGGTGATAACATTTTTTAATGCGCAATTCAGGAAAAATGCGAAAAGTGTTGTTAAATGCATAGCAGATTTTGTATACAAAAAGAGCTGTTAAATTCTGTTTATTGACTTGGAGCAAATGATTCATTATTTTGAGTCATATTCATTTTAAGATTTCACCACTTTCAAAATTCTGTCCGAAGCAGCAGAAATCACTCAAGAATTTAGCTCAAAATGAAGTACCATTGACGAAGACGATGATGATGTGAATGAGAATGTGAAAGTGGGTCGAACAGTATACAGTTGTGGATTAGCGGTTGTGATTGTATGCGGTTCCGTTTGCGACGCAAAAGATTTTCCAATCGGTGGTAGAGTTATTCTGGCCTATAATATAAAGTCCACTCAAGTGGTCATAGATATAAAAATAATATTTTTTCTATAATCCAGGATTACGCTGGGTGATCGCTCAACGCGACATTGTGCTCAGCCATCGCTTATCAGTGGCTGGAATCAAGAAAGAATACAGTTAGTAGAATGACCTGCAAACTG